GGGGGAAACAGCCCTATACACAAAGCATTTTCACGCGAGGTCCGGAAAAGATCCGGATCTTAAAGGGTGTGATGTAGCCGCTCTACCCTGATGCAAGTATCAGTGGCTGATTTCACCGCTCTACCCTGATGCAAGCATCAGTGGCTGATTTCACGGTTCGAGCTCCTAACCTATAGGTCATTTTAGTTGGTGGAAAATAATAATTTGAAGCCATATGCAACCCCCCCCCCNNCTCTCTCTCTTCTCTCGTACTACTCTACTACGTACTACTACTACGTACCTACGTAACTACGTACTAACGTAACTACTAACGTACTTACGTTACGTTAACGTTAAGTTACGTAAGTTTACGTACGTTAGTTAGTTAGTAGTACGTAGTACGTACGTACGTACGTACGTACGTACGTACGTACGTACGTACGTACGTACGTACGTACGTACGTACGGTACGTACGTACGTACGTACGTACGTACGTACGTACGTACGTACGTACGTACCGTACCGTTACCGTACGTACCGTACGTTACGGTACGTACGTACGTTACGTACGTTACGTTACGTACGTACGTTACGTACGTTACGTACGTACGTACGTACGTACGTACGTACGTACGTAGTAGTACGTATACGTACGTACGTACGTAGTACGTACGTAGTAGTAAGTAGTACGTAGTAGTAGTACGTACGTAGTACGTAGTAGTAGTAGTAGTAGTAGTAGTAGTAGTAGTACGTAGTTAGTAGTAGTAGTACGTACGTACGTACGTACGTACGTACGTACGTACGTACGACGTACGTCGTACGTACGTACGTTACGTACGTACGTACGTTAGTACGTTACGTACGTACGTAGTACGTGTTACGTCGTACGTTACGTACGTACGTACGTACGTACGTACGTAGTACGTACGTACGTACGTACGTACGTACGTACGTGTACGGANNAACGGACTACGACTTACACTAGACTTAGTCTCGTACGTCGGACTACGGACGTACGTACGTACGTTACGTAGTGTGTA